GGCCCCCGTTCCCAGCCCAGCCCCGGGCCTGCCCCCCGGGCAGGAGCCCCGCGGCCTGAGGCGCCTCAGCCCTCGGGAGCTGCCTCGCCCAGCGCAGCCAGGCCCACAGGCTGCGTGCGTGGGTGCTGCCGGGCTTTGGCTGCCCGCGGGGGCCTGTCCCTCCTCAGATTCACGACGCTAATGTCAGGAATCTTCACCCCAAGCTTAGCATGAGGCTGCGCCGCGCGTGGCACTGTCGCAGGGGAGGACGTGGCCGGGTCTGTCCTTCCCGATGCTGTGCTGCTGCCCGGTGGCAGGCCGCAGCGGGCAGAGCCGTTACTAGTATTATATCACAAGGTAACAGCAATGCCAGGGGGGCCCTGTCTCCGCCGTTAGCCCCGCGCTGCAAGCTTCCTTCGGAGCGCTGGAGTTAAGTTGCTTGTCTCTGAAGAAGAGGGTGAGCCTCCGGCAAAAGCGCTGACGCGACTCACGCCGCGGTTGAGAGGGCAAAATCCTTTAAGCTGTTTGCCTTCTGTAACTAATAAGCAATGTAAAACATTAGGTTGTCTTTCTTTTTCTTTTCTTTTGTCTCTCCATATAAATCTTTATTAACTGCTTGCATATGAAAATCAGAAAGACAAAGATTTTATAGTGGTGAATTGAGTGCCATTTATTATAGAAGTACTTGTAAAACTGATCTACAGTACTCTTTTATATGAGACAGCTCTTGGGGAAGAAGAAGGATTGGCTATTTGGCTTAATAATGGTAAGAGATTGTGATTCTGCAAATTTTAATGAATACATCTTATTCACAAGAATGCGTCCATTGAAATTTTGTAGGATTAGAAGTTAAAGTAGTTATTTTAGTTTAAATACTACTAATAGTTAAGTGCTCAGGCTGTCAAAGGTCAAATGAATCAAAATTATGAATGCTTTATTTTTTTAAGAAAATAATGATTTTTAAAAACATTTAAAACCCACTAAAAGGACAAGGCTTTTGGAACCAACGTTTTCTCCCAAATATATTGAAAAGGTAATGTATCTCAAAGTTTCTTTATTCCTTTTTTCTTCTGCGGGGATGTTACAGTGCATTGTAATGATCTGCTTGACTCAGCTATTCAGTTGGTGTGGATGTATCTCAGCAACCAAAGATTTGTAAGTGAAGCCAAGAGCAGTGTCTCAGGGGAAGGAACAAATGGCTTTCTTTCGCATGCATTTGCCTTTGAAGCATTTTGTAGTTTTATTCTGGGGTTCTGACTGACGAGACAGAATCCCTGTAAAGTTAGTTATAAACTGCTCAGAAACTGGCCCCAAAATTTTGTGCAAAGCATCTCCCTGCCTGCCTTCCCAAGGGCTTCTATGTGTCAGGGACCTTTGCTCATCCAAGGGCTGGCCATTTCCCAAGAGGCTTAAGCTCTCCTGATTTATACCAAATAATTAATGTTTTTTAGCATCAGTTGCATGTACAAGCATCGTACAAACAATGACCTGTGGATGCTTGTGCTGCTCCAGACAGGAGTGGTATCCCAAAAAGAACTTTTTTTGTTGCTCCAGCTCCTTCCAAGCTGTGATGGAAATGTGCCTAAGCTCTCCTTGCAAGTCTTGATGAGAATTAAGAGGTTTCTTTATACCCTGCTAAGGACACTTATAGTTCTAAATATTCTGTTGCATTGCACACCTCCTGCTTCTAAGATAGACAGCTTTTCCCTTTTGAGAGGGAGAAATTAATTTACAGATTGCTTTCCTAGAATCCTGCCTATGCAGTTCCTTCTTAGTTTAATAATTTAAATAGGCTTGCTGGACTGATAACTTTGGTCCTGGCTTTGTCTGTACTTGGATGGGGAATGGTGGGTATGACAGGCCTTAGCTAGATGGCCATGGACAAACATGGGAAGAGGTTCAGGCCATGGAGACTAAACAAATTAAAAGTTGCCATGTGGTTCCATCAGCACTGGTGAGCCAGCACGCGGGAAAGTACTGCAGTGATTGTAGTGATGGGTGGAGCTAAACGTAGAGGCGTTGCATTCTCCATGCTCCCGCAGTGCAGGAGGGCCTGGATTTTCTTACGTGCTGTTACCACCCTGTGGCCCTGCTTATCCACTTTTCCCATTGGGGTAACATCAGCATGATACACACGTTGGTCCCAAGGATATTGACAGGAATTACAACTTCCGTAGATTTGTGGGCACAGAACAGGGGAGATGAGCTAAATAGGAGGGCCCGTGCCTCCTGTCAGATGTGGGGACCTGGCCTAAGGTTCAAGCAGTTCATGTCCTGGGGCAGCTTCAGTCTGTAATTCCACTCCCTGTATATTTCCCACAAGAAGGGATTCTAATAAATGAACCTCTTGACATTCATGTTGTTGTGAGAATCATAATTAAGTAAGCATCAGTTACTGGGACACACATGCAGCTTCTGGTATGCAAAGACAAAGCTGCTGAATAGCTCCATAGTTAAAGTGCACCAGCACCGCTAGACTGCAGATAATGCACATCAGATCTCACATCTTATATAGTTGCTATGGTAACATGGCAAGGTCGCTGAGATTTCTGAAAAGCAAATACTGAAGGCACAGGCAGCATGAGAATTGATTGCAGGAGATGCTGTGGACCTCTCACAGCAGTGAGCTGTAGGACAACTGTGTCACTCTGCTGTGATTTGAGTGCTCTCAGGTGTGTTTGCTGTCGGCATGGCTGGATCCATTGTCACTTGCCTTGCTGCCTTTTACTGTACTAGTTTGGTCCCCAGAGGTGCTAAGCAGAGAGCTGTTGCATTTGAGAATGGAGTTTACAGTAAATACAGCCCTAATGTCAGGACTGGTTTTTGCACAGGGTGGCTGGTTTAAATTCAAATGCTGTGGGTCTTTATTGACTGCAAAGGGTCTGGCTCTTGCTTTAATCTCCTGCGCAAACTGCTTTGGCGGACACAGTGTACAATGACATAGAGGCAGTAGGTGGCTCCCAATAAAACCAAAACATTTTAATGAGAGAAAAAAACCCTACAATAGTGCAAGAGAGCCAGACACGTGCATCTGCTGTCACAGCTGTCTTGTTCTGCCCACATCTGATGTATCTGTATACTTTATGCAACCCTATGTTACTTAGGAATTACTGCAGGGCTGGGTTGTATGTGTGAATAACATGCAGGATATTTTTAGATCTGATTATTTATGCATGCTACTGTTTCCGTATTTATAGCTAGCTGTTTAAACGTTGAAGAACTTCCTGGTACCAGACCAGGCTGATTTTCCTTCCCTGCAAAGGCAGCAGATGGAAGGAGGCAAACATTTCTCTATAGAGGAAGTTGAAGTTTAACCATGGGATTCTAATAAGCACGTTATTTTCTTTTGCTCTATATTGAAGTGACTAGAGTGAACAGCACTTGGAGCCCAGGGCTTTCTCTATCAGGAGCTGCTTGGGAGCACTGGGATTTTTTTTCTAAAAAAAGCAACAGTGAGAAACTTGTCTGCACAAAGAACTCTCTCCAATTCCCCTAATTAAAGTGTCTTTTTAATATGCACCATCTGTCACCAGCATGTCCCGCTTACCTTCTCGCCCCTGTTTGTAAGAAAAGGAGAAACAAGAGTCCATGTTGGGTAGATATGGAGGAGAACTGCTCTTTTCTGCAAGCCCCACTCACCGCTTAGCTTCTCCCAGCAGAATCCAAATCCCAGTTATGAGTTTGCTGCTGTGCACTAGCAGCTACTGTGCCGTTCTGGAGACTACACAGACCAGTGATTTCCAGTTTCTGTAGACAAGGGTCTTGTGGGAAAGTTGGCAGGGCTTCGCTCTTCACCGTGTTAGACACTGTTAGTCTATACAGCAGGGGAGTTAATCTGTATAGCACGGGAGAAATAAAAACTGCTGGTTAATCATAATCTCTCCAAGAGGCTGAAGAAATGATAGGGCAATAAAGGTACTGGCAAAG